GGGGGGGTATAAATAACATAAGATTTCTTAGACTTTTCTGTTCAACACCAACTTTGCATCTAACTTTGTCTGTGATGTTTTAGATTTATTGTACCCAGCTGAAAACACCCAGTCAAAAGCTAATGGAATAAGTGAATGTCTTACCCACAAAAACACTAAAGGCAGTTGTCGAGACGTCACGATGTGTGAAGTATTACAAGCCGAAATACAAAGAGGTCTTCATCCGAATATATGTGAATGGAAAGGCATCATTCCTATAGTATGTTGCCCACTATCGCCAACTGTCACTCCGGTTACAACGATCACTACACAGTCTCCAGCTAATGACCGAGGTAAGTTAAAAAAAAAATTAATAAGCTTTTATTCTTTATATCGGCCTGGCGGTTAGGCCAGTTAGACTAGCAATCTGAGGGTCGCGGGTTCGAATCCCATCTCCGAACATGCTTGTCCTTTTTCTGCCATGAGGGAGTTACAATGTGTCGTTCAATCCCACTATTCGTTGGTATAGAGTATCCAAAGATTTCCTGCTTTCCCTCTAGTGTATTAATTCTAAATTAGGGACAGCTAGCGCAGGTAGCCCTCAAGTAGCGAACTTTTGGAAATAAACAACCCGTATTGATTATTGATAAATAATAGTGCCTGTCTGTTTCTCATCAAAAGGTTGACCAGAGCTTTCTATTGAAAGAACGTCTGCAGGGTGGAAGAAAGTGTGAAATATTGCGAGAAATGTCTTCCGATGGCCCAGTTCGTTGGTAAAAGAGCAGCCCAAGAGTTGGCGGTGGGTGGTGATGACTAGATGCCTTTCCTCTACTCTTTCACTTTTAAATTATAGACGGCTGGCGCAGATAGCTCTTGTGTAAGTTTGCGATAAATTCAAAACAAAACCAAAACTAAATTATTTATATTATTCGCTATATTGCTATCACGGCAACAAATTTAAGGTCGCCAACAGCCAAGACAAACAAAATGCAACTTGTGCTTAACATCAAACAGACAATCTCGCCAACAGCTAAGACAAACACAGTGCAACTTGTGCTTAACATCAAACAGACAATCTCGCCAACAGCCAAGACAAACACAGTGCAACTTGTGCTTAACATCAAACAGACAATCTCGCCAACAGCTAAGACAAAAACAGTGCAACTTGTGCTTAACATCAAATAGACAATCTTTCCAATAATGAAACTACAGTTCAGCGTCAAGAAAATAAGAACCTCGTTTTTATTGCTCTTGATAAGCTTCAACGTAAAGAAAATATCCTCAGCCAATGTTACTCTTATGGAGTCGTTGTCAATGTCCCCCGGTGAAACAGCGGTAAGTCCACGGACTTATAACACTAAAATCCAGAGTTCGATTCTTCGCAATAGACACAGCAGATAGCCCAACGTGGCTTTACTCCAAACCAAACAAACAAATTAACTCATTATTTAAAAAAAAAAAGAAATACAACAAACACCTCTCACAGTATCATTCGCTGCAGAATGAACTATCTGTGCTGTGTCTATTTCAGGGATCGAGCTCAAATTTAAGCATACAATTGTTCCACTGAGGGGGACTTATTGGTAGAAGGAAATGTATTTTGTCAATGAACTAATAGAAGACACAACAAAAAGTATAGGATGTTGTTGTTGTTGTTATTATTATTGACATTAAAACTGCAGGGACAGTTATTTTTAATGATACTGAACCTGCAATGACAGCGTTGAATGACCATTTTACTCCTAATATTAAACATGTAGTAGCAACAGCTGTAGAAATAATCATTTCTTACTTTATCGGTAGCAGATACAGTGGAATTGTTTTCAATATTGTGCTTCTGCGAATGTGGTGGTAGGATAGCGTTTGATATCTTGGATAACCTATATTATCAGTAGAGAGAGGAAATGACACATCTCTTCCTATTTCCTCAATATGTAACTTGCTTTTTCGTATATAACAGTAGAGAGAGGAAATGACGCATCTTCTTCCTATTTCCTCAATATGTAACTTGCGTTTTCGTATATAACAGTAGAGAGAGGAAATGACACATGTGGATATTCTTCTTCCTATTTCCTCAATATGTTACTTGCTTTTTCGTATATAACAGTAGAGAGAGGAAATAACACATGTGGCACACCTCTTCCTATTTCCTCAATATGTTACTTGCGTTTTCGTATATAACAGTAGAGAGAGGAAATGACACATGTGGCACATCTCTTCCTATTTCCTCAATATGTAACTTGCTCTGCGGACTTACAACGTTAGAAACCGGGTTTCGATACCCGTGGTGGGCAGAACCCAGATAGCCCATTGTGTAGCTTTGTGCATAAATTCAAACAAACAAACAAGGTAACTTGCGTTTTCGTGTGCATTATTGTTATTTATAATAGGCTATTTTCAATAAACTGTTTTATCGTTTTATTTGTACTTAATTTTAATTAGCAATTACGTTTTATTATCTGATCGTTGGGATGATTATTAACACTGATATCAACTTGCGTTGGATATAAATTTATGCTTTTGACGAATCCCACTTTTAGCACCATAGGTCAACTCGTAAAGTAATGAGATAATAACAAATTCGGTTTCGTAAAATAGGGATTTATATTTTGGCTCTTAACATTGTTATTAAAGCATTTGGAGTAGTTAGAAACTGCTCTGTTGAACTCTTTCATAATTTTAGAAAATATTACATTTTTATTTAGGTATATTCACGTAACTTTTTAAAAATTGTGTACACATCTTCTTCACGTAGCTCGCATTCTTGCAAAGATGATATAAATAGTTTTTGTAAATATGTATTCAGTCCTTAGTTCGAACTATGGTTACTTTTAACAGTGATCATTTCCCAGACCGTATATATATATGTTTGAACATGTTCCTGTGTCGTCGCTTCCCTGGGATGTGGGTCATACCCAGGCGAAGGGGGAGTACAGATAGTTTTACAATTTCTTACGATATCGTATATGTATAATACGTATAGTAGAAAATAGTCTATTACATTGGTAATCTAGGATTGTGGGATACCACACTAGGAATTTTGGTCTGACTTAATAGCGTGGTACAATAACAATTTTTCCGTGAAGCCAGAGCAATTAATCGGCGAATTGAGAAACCAGCTAATAATAACACGAGTCTCTAGTACATTTGGTTCTTTTGTACAAATACAGATCTTCAATATTCTTTGTTTTACACGTGTGTCACGTGATTATTTTCATTAGTCTTTTTTTTTTTTTTTTACACGTGTGGCTTGAGTATTTTCTTTACTGTCTGTTTTCGATGTATTATTTGCTAAAGACTCCCTGAATCTGCTGTTTATTGTAGATATTGACACTACAGGTATACAAGTTCTAAACTTTGCTATGTAATATTAAGCCATATACCACTCATTTTTTTGAACATATTCAAGTTTTTTTTTTTTGACTAGCTGTTATAGTAAAAAATAAAATCTGTGTTATATTTTTACACTACGTAGGATGTGCCAGAGTTCCAGTGACAATCTCACCAGCAGAGTTTCGTAGAGAGGAGGCTAAAGGTAATCCAGCAAAAGCAGGATATTGGCCTTGGATGGTAAGAAGTGAAATGTATTTATTAACAAACTCTTACCCTCCAGTGTCATAGCGGTATGTCTGCGGACTTGCACCGCTAGAAACCGGGTTTCGATACCTGTTGTTGGCAGAGCATAGATATCCCATTGTGTAGCTTAGTGCTTAATTACAAGCTAACTCTTATCAGTTCTGGTCCATCTCACAACATCTTGAAATCAATATAAGTTTAGTTATGGCATTTCATATGTGATGTGAATAGTGTACCACAATAAAAACAATAGTATACCTCAGCAAAGAGAATAACATTCCACTGCTGGCTGTTGCTAACATTATGATCTTAGTGACACATTAACAGTGATTTAGCTTGCCAGGCTGTTGCTAACATTATGATCTTAGTGACACATTAACAGTGATTTAGCTTGCCAGGCTGTTGCTAACATTATGATCTTAGTGACACATTAACAGTGATT